GTCCCGCCCCGTCCAGTCCACTCGCGCTGCCTCGCGTCGCCCCGCCCCTCTCCATAGCCCCGCCCCACCCCGCGCGGCCGCCTCAGGGGCTCTCTATTCTCCCAGCGCAGAACCGCTCCCCCAAGGCGGCGTCCTTACCGTTCAAACTGTCCGCCTGCCTATCTCCCCGGCACGTGTAGGTGAGATTCTTTGTTCCTTCTGTGTGTGTGTGTGTGTGTGTGTGTGTGTGTGTGTGTGTGTGTGTGTTATTTCGATGCTTTTGGGAAAGGGAGGAAGACAAAAAGAGGGATTGTGCTCTATTTTGAAAAATTCAATCCTCAGTGCTATAGCTCTCACGGTTAATTAAAATTAAATCTCCAGTGCATCTGGGTGAAGAGAGGCTGCAGCTCGGGAGCCTCCCGTATAGCCTCCTTCCTTGCCGCGCCCGCCCGCATTGGAAGTCCAGCGATGCTCTGGCTCCAGCTGCTGTGTGCAGCTGGCTGGGAAGGAAAGGGGCAACCTTAGCTGGGGGCGGAGAAATCCGGCTTCATCCTCCGGAAGGGATGGAAATGAGAGGGGGAGGGGGGAAATACAATTGTAGTTATCCAGAGAACCAAGATAATAAATGATTTTTAGAAAAAACTCAAACCCATCTCCACCTCATCTCCCTCTCCTCACTGAGGAATGAAGGGAAGAAGGAACCTTTACCAGATTTGAGATTTGATACATTTCAGCTGGTCTGCATAAACTGATGAGTCCAAAAGAAGATCTTTCCTCAAAGGGTGTATGCTTCCTGCAAGAATGCATCTGTAGGTGTGTGTTTGAGATCCTACCCTCTAGTTCATTCCTTATGCAGGGGAGCGAGCCTCCTGAGGATGGGGGTTATTTCTCATCCGTGTTTTGGTGCCCATTAACGGTGATTTATTATTCAAATTCTCCATCTTGCTTCCTGCTCTCAACCCACCAGAGTGGAATTACACCTGGACTAGCCTGGGGAGACTTTGCCTGAGAACTTGACAAATCTAGGGAATATGTCATGTGCTGTGGTCTTAACAAGCCAGGCAGGCTCATGTTTCTAAGTCTGTTGTCAGAGTGTTGCAGGAAGGGGGACCCTTTCCAGGGCCTGAGAGTGGGCTCTTGTCTAACACTCGGAAAAGAATTGTTGGAGGAGACACATGTGCTGACAAAGCAAGAGATTTTATTGGGAAGGGGTGCCCGGGCAGAGACCAGTAGGGTAAGGGAATCCAGGAGGACTGCTCTACCACGTGGCTCACAGTCTCAGGGTTTTACGGTGATGGGGTTAGTTTCCAGGTTGTCCCTGGCCAATCATTCTGACTCAGGGTCTTTCCTGGTGGCTCCCGCATCACTCAGCCAAGATGGATTCCAGCGAGAAGGAGTCTGGGAGGTTGGTAGGACATATGGATTGATGTCTCCTCTCTCCTTTTGACCTTTCCTGAATTCTTCCAGTTGGTGGCAGCTTGTTAGTTCCTCGTTCCTTACCAGGACCTCCTGTTTAAGATAACTCATGAAAGTGATTACACTTGGGCCTGGCCAGGGTGGGTGGTTTCAATCAGTGGTTCCCCTAACAAGAGTACTGTATTTTCCCCAGCAAGGTATTAAAATAACATAAAAACAAACAAATGCCAGCATTCTTTTGTTGGGTCTACCACTGAGTTAGAGTGAATTGGAAATGGATCTGGTTGAGAGTGGAATCAAACATCACTTCCTCCCTGTTCCTCCATCCGCCTGCCCTCCTCTGACCTCCTTTGAGAAACACCTCCCCCTCTATCTTTGTTGCTGACAGATTCCAATCAACACTGCTTAAAGAAGGGAAGCTATCTCTTCCACTTCTCATTTGCTGCATAGTTTATCAAGGAATCATTTCTACTAACTCAGTTCTAAGAGGTTTCTTATTCCAAAAAATTCCAGGCTTTCTTTCTTGGGAGGAAGGAACACTTTAAATTTCTTTCAAAGGTACTTTGAAAGTATGTATGCATACAGGATGCAGGAGCTCGGTTGCGATTTCAAAGGTACTTTGAAAGTATGTATCAAATCTCAAGGTGTGGTGGCTGAGTGGCCTCAGAGAGGGATTCTGCAGTCCTCCAGAGAAAAGGTGACTGGACTGGCTTCAAGCCAGTTTTGCTTGCTGAGGATGACAAGGAGCCATTCCTCAGCCTCAAGGAAGCTATGAGCAGTCAGAAAGCTCATTTTCACAGTCCAAAGAGAGCCTGTGATTAAAGGAGATGTGGAGTCTCTTCAAGAGATCTTTTGTTAAAAAGAGAAAGCATGTCCTCTCTGCCTCTGACCTCAGTCAGGGTTTGAATGTCTGCTAACCCCAAAAGGCCTGGAGGCACAGCAGTAGTTCTGCCTCTTGAAGGCTCTTTGTTTCCAGATTTTAGCTCTGACTCCTGGTTGAGCCCTCTCTTCTCAGGGCATCCGTGCCCTGCTGCAATGACTGTCCCTTTGGCCAAATCAAATGCTACCTGGCACTCTGCATCCCTGCCCCCTTTGTCCTGGGGAAAAAGGCATCACCGTGGCTATGACCTTGCCACATTCCCACTCTGTCATACCCCTTAGCACCCCCTCCGTTCATCTTCTGAGGTGCTCTTGCTTCTCACCCATCTTCCACCCCTCCCCCACCCCATCTGACCAGTAACTTCATTTTCTCCCCTTCACGAAGCAGCTGCTGGCTCAGACTGACAGGGGCCTGTGGGATTCTCAGCATTGAGACAGAATCTCGGTGCTGAAGGAATATCAGTGAGGCATATCTAGCCCCGCCTGCCTTGATGTAAAAGCAGTCCTGAGTCAACTTATATAAGGAAGATTCTTAACCAGTTCACAATATTTATTGAGCACCTGTCATGTGCCAGCTACTATTCTAGACATGGGGGTTACGGTACAGTGGACAAGACAGGTGTCCCTGCCTTGGTAGAGTTTATGTTCTAGGATGTACACATGTTGGTAGTTGGGGGTGGAGGAGTATGTGTGCCATGAGAGGTAGGACAATAAATAAACAAAAGATCAGACAATAAAGATCAGAACTAACTGCCCTTACACTAAAGCTGCTCAAGCTCCTTATACCCAGCTACCTTCACTATTGGGAAATATTTCCTTTGTAGACAGTCAGATGCTCCCCAGATGATGAGCCAGCCTCAGTGTGGGAGCCTTTCAGGACCAGGAGACAAGAGAAATGCTGCTCACAGGACCACAGAGGAAAAGGCTGCAGCCTGACTGTGCTCACAGTCAACCACAGCAACGGGCTGGAAGCTGCGACTTCTAAGCTTCTGTTCCATCTTCGTTCCAATCACTTGATACTGGTCTGAACCAAATTTCCTTTCATCTTTACATTGGTGAGACTGTCTCTCTGAGAGCGGCTAATAATAATTTTCAGTGGTAAAATGGCAAACATTTTATTTCCTGGTTGGCCTAGCACCTCTAATGGTGGCAAACCAAGATGCTAATGGGGGAGTTTGGCCACCCCAGACAGGTGATATGTAGCCCTCTGAGTGACCGATACACAAGTCAGAAAAGAACTGGAAGAACAGCAGGGCTGGAGCAAGGCACAGCTCACTGTAGTAGTTGTAAATGAACTTGAAAATGATGATACTTTACCCACTTAGCCCCGGTTCAGGTTCCTTGGAAGAGGAAGATGTGTTAATAGCAGTGAAGGTGCAAAAAGTCAATTCCTGATTGTACTTAGTTAAACCGGTGGAGCAGGGCACCCTAATTCAGAAGCATTATAAGCCAGAGACAGCAAAATGGCAGCCTATCTGTGATTTGTTTTGGTTGTTTGTCCACATGGTAATTTATTTAAATTTGGACTAATTGCAGTAATTAAAATCAGGAACTTCCTCATGAAATTTCAGGCAACCCATACCAAATGGACCTGAATTTCTCTATGAAAGCAGTTGGCTGAACAGTGGGCTTGGTGGGAAGAAGAGAGAACAGTAACTTGCTGTTTCAGATGAGACCTGAGTGAGCTCTTATGTTTACCACAGCCCCCACCATTCCCTGTGTCCAGTTGCTAAGGCTTGGTGTCATTGCCACTTATTAGCTTTTTCCAGCCACACTTCATCCGTATATGTTACTTGCTTCCCTGCAATTAATCTAAGAGCAGAGGCTTCAAAACTCCCTGGCTTCTCCACCCACCAAGCCCACAAGTTCTGCTGCGTATCTGGGTGGGTTTGGAGAAGGCCCTGGATCAGGACTGCTTCAGTGACCACCTAGGAACAGAGAATCATGAACAGACTCCAGGGAAATCATGCCTGATGATGAGAGGTCCATGAAGCAGCAGTGAGCCACCACTGTGGAGGTGGGAGTGGGAGTTAGTGACCAAGTGACAGGATGGAAGTAATGACCAGACTTCCTGCTGGTGAC